TTACCAAGCCTCTTAGTGAAGAAGATTTTTGTCGCATAAGAAATGGTTTGGGCATGTGCATTCTTTGATTTTGTTTGTTTGTTTGTTTGTTCGGATTATCATTTTCATATCCTACTATTTTCCTTTATGCGCTCATTGTCAAAACATGTCCAAACACACAAAATTACCAAGAGGAGTGGTTAAGAGATACCGAGGTTAATTCCAAGAGGAGTGGGTTAGTAGTAATGCCTAGGGAAAGGTCGTAAATCCAAACACTTGAGGAATATGACACAGGTAGGCCAACACTTGAGGTGTATTTTGTGGGTTTTCGTATGTATCTTATCTTGTATACCCTATTTTTGATGGTGACAAAGGGGGAGAGAAATCTCCTCATTTGTGCACATAGTTAGGGGAAGAGAGCCTTATAGATAGGGGGAGCAACTATCTATAAGCTATACATTCAATTTTATTTTGCTCTTGGATAATGGTTGGTTGATCATCAAAAAGGAAAAGATTGTTAGCCTTTATATTTTGATGATGATTTACAACCATCATTATTAGTACTAATTACTTGTTAAGTGATATTATAGATTACAAGAATATCAAGCTTTTTAGTACCTATAAACTGGAGGATTTGATGGAACAAGCTACAACGAAGTTATCCAAGGAAGCAGAGGCTAAGTGATGAAGCAAAGCTATCAAGAGCACAACACTCAAGAAGCTTCATCAAAGATATGAGCAAATATCAAGACCAAGAAATCGTATTCTTATATGTGAAGGATATTTGTATTTTTATTTCTCTCTAGTGAATGTAGGCAAATAGTATGATAGATTATATTTGAAGCTCTTGGGGTAACACACTCACACATTTTCAAAACTCGTATTTTGACATTGTTGCTAAACGTTGAGTTTTCACAAATACGAGGTCTTTTTTGTAAAATTCCTTTTCAAACAAGTTTGTTATTAGAATTTATTTACTATTTTTTAAAGGCTCTGCAAACTCGTTTTCAAAAATCTAAAAAAGCTAAAAATCTGTTATCAGTCGACTGATGCAAAGGATCAGTCGACTGATGAAACTAGTCAGAATTATTAATTGTTTCTGTTTCTTATTCGGTCAATTGACCAGTCGACTGATGAGGTCATCAGTCGACTGATAAGTTGTTAGCTGCTTGTAACGGTCAGCTCGTCAGTCGACTGATTCAGCTCATTAGCCGATCGACGCCTGTAACGACTATTTTTGTACAATTTCCAGATTACTCAACTTTTGAACGTTTTTGTCTGTTTCTTTGGAGTTTGGTTGTTCTCTTGAATGCTTATAAATACCCACCAACATCATTCACTTCAGTAACCAAGCAAGCATTTAAAATCTCTTGAATTTGTTATTTATTGTTTAAAAGAGCTTCAACTTTCATTTGTTTTTCACACTTACAAACCCCACATCCTAAGCTTCAAATTGCAATCTCGTCATCTTGCCATAGGGTTGTTGTAAGAGAGCTTCTTTTCTTTCATTTGTAACGTGTGGAGAGCTTGATCTCGTGGAGATCTACTGTGTGGTTGTGAGATCTCAAGAGGAAATCGTTGTGATAAAGTTCTGGCTTCCAAACCGTGTTGTGATAGTGAAATTCTCCTCGATAGTGGGGAGCGGGGACGAAGGTCGGTGGACCGAACCTCGTGAACATATCGCGTGTCACAATTAGCTAACTATTTCCTAACTCATCTCCTTTATATTGTTTTAGTATTTTATTTTGTGGTATATTACATTGTTTTATTTTTAATTGCATATTTATTGCCTCATAACCCTATTCACTCCCTCTAGGGTCCAACAAGAAGGAACTGGTAATTTTGGCTAGAATGATGTTTGCACAAGTATTGTGCTTACCATGATGCATGATCAATACATGTCAACTTGGACAATTGATTAAAAAAGGGGGAATAAAAGAATTATCCGCACCTTGTAACAATGTATAATTCCTCTCTATAACCTTTAACAATCTGTAAATTCGATGCAAACTGGTTCTGCCATCGACAAGCCTAGTCTCGGTGTTTATACAGATTACTGTCCAGAAGGAACTCTAATGGGATTAGGTTAACTCAATTATCTATTCAAACTCTAATGGGTTCAATTATCCATTCAAACTCTCTCATGAATTCAATCATCTATTCAAACTCTAATGAGATTTGACTATCATGTCATGAATAAGAGAAACCTTTTATGAATCCCGCAGGGAATTGGACTGTAACGAGCAAACCATGCTTTGATTAAAAAAAATAATGCAAAGGATAATCAATTCAACCAGCACTCGCACAAGAGATGTGCATTACAGAAAGCCCCTATTCACAAGTTTGGAACATTACAGAGAACCCCTCCCAACACTGAAAAGGTTACTAAAATCCTTAAAACAACCATGATTTTGCAGTTCAGTACTAGGCAAATCAATAAATTACAAAACAATCTGAAAAACTATAGTTCTGTCCCTAGAAAATTCAAAAATTCAAAAACAGTCCAGAACTTGTAGTTTTCACGCTAAAAAAGTGCAGAAATTGTATTTAAGCCTAGAAACTACAAAACAGTCTAGAACTTGTAGTTTTCACCCTAAAAAATTATAAAAATTGCATTTAGGCCCAAAAACTGCGAAATGGTCTAGAATTGGCAATTTACACCCTGGAGGAAATGCAAAAATCGCATTTCGGCCCAATTTTGCAATCTAGTCTAGAAATTACAGTTTGGTCCCCTGTAAAATTAAAAAATTGCAGAAATTACACATTTGTCCCTTACATTTTATTAATTACGGATTGATCCCTCAAAATATTAAAATTTCAAAGACAAATTCAAGAAAGTCACTTAACTTTACGGACCTCTATGTCTCTAAACTAGATAAAAATTTGATGCAGAAAGAAGACACCAGAAAATAAAATCCAGTGCATCACAAGATAAAAATTCAGTGCAAAAACAATTGCACCAAAAGATGAATTTGTGTAAAAAAAGGTGTCCACGAATAACATTAAAAAGTTCAATTGTGTCAACCACTAAGTTGTTAAACTAGCTAAAAAATACACAATCCGAACAACAAATCAAACTTGACCTTTACGTCGTTAAACTAGATCTCAATTCAAACCCGACCTCTACGTCGTTAAACTAGATCTCAATCAAACTCGACCTCTACGTCGTTAAACTGGATTTCAAATCAAACTCGACCTATATGTCGTTAAAATTGGATCTCAAATCAAACTCGACCTCCACGTCGAAAAAACTAATAAATTCCAAATTTGACCACCAAGTCCCTGAAACTAGAAAATACCAAATCGGATCTCCACTTCCCTAAACTGAAAAATACCAATTAAAACTAGAAAATACCAAATTGAATCTCCACTTCCCTAAACTGGAAAATACCAAATTTGACCACCACGTCCCTAAACTGGAAAATATCAAATTTAACATCCACGTCCCTAAACTGGAAAATATCAAATTCGACCATAAGTCGTTAAACTGAAAAATACCAAATTTGACCTTCACATCCCTAAACTAAAAACACCAAATTTGACATCCATGTCTCTAAATTGGAAACTACCAAATTTGACCTCCACATCTCTAAACTAGAGAATACCAAATCCAACCTATAAGTCATTAAATTAGAAAATACCAAATTTGACCTCCATGTGCCTAAACTGGAAAATATCAAATTTAACCTCCATGTCCCTAATATGGAAAATACCAAAATTGACCTCTACGTTCCAAACTGGAAAATACCAAATTTGACCTCCACATCCCTAAACTGGAAAATATCAAAATTGGCCTCCATGCCTCTAAACTGGATTGAAGACCAAATTGACCTTTACATCATTAAACTAGAATCCCAAAATCTAAAATCCATTTCACATCTTCAAGGTGAACCAAAATCCAAATACAATTATCACATCTCTAGTCTAAGATTTTATACAAAAAATGTACACTAGGGGTATCCCTCTAGTTAAGCTATGTATATGATTTTTCCCTGTTTTTTTCTTAATAAACTTATGGTGCTTTCTTGCTTTATGAGTTTTCTTCTACTTTCATGAAGTTTATTGACTCTAAATCGAAGGTTCCTTTCTTTAGAATAATTAACAATAGACTTTTGAGTCCGTTGGAAACTATGAACTCACATAAAAATAAAACCCCTCTCCCGTAGGGTGAATTTTTGATATGATCGATATGCAAAATAAAGTTATCTTCCTTAATTGGATGCACCTATATGTAACTAGTTAAAATAAACAATCTTGACCCCACATTTTGGAGATATTAATTTGCTGACCTTAACGAAAGAAGGACAAGCCATAGTCATGTACAATTGCTCGTGCAATCAATTACTATCCAAAAAAATGTTTTAAATTACACCCACTTGGGTAAATATATTTATGCACATTCACATCACTAATACGTTGGATCACACATGAAATGAACTATTTACATAACTTGGTCCTAACTTTTTACCTAATCTTCACATTGATTTCGATCAAAATATGAAGATAATAATTATCCTTGTTTCATCAACCTAGAATCTGCTCAACATCTTAGCATGAGAATTAAATTTATTCTTAATGACAAAACACATGAATTTTACAAAATTCAGCCCAACTGTCTGCCTTCCGTTTCATAATTCGATTTTATCAGTCGATTTCATATTTTGATTGCTATTAGGGAACTTATATCTTAGATTAACATGTTGTTTTCGCTGCAAACAAGTAATATAATAGGATGTGAACCTTCAGAAACGAACAATGATCAAATTTAAATTCTTTTGATCAATGCTACTAATGTCAATCTTCGCCTCCTGTTTGGGACCGAAGCACCAAGACCCTAAATAGGAAGTATCCGATGTATAAAATAAAAAATAAAATAAAAAAAAGCCCCACTTTTCTATAAATTCATAATATTGCAGGAGTTTTCAAATCGGAATAGAGAACAAAGTAATCAATATTTCAATAAAAACAAGGAAAAATCCCCCATAAAAGGGTTAGAATACTGAAAGAGTGAGAGTTCATACCCAAGCCTTTCTTTTGTTCCCCCCTTTTCCTTCTTTCTCCGTTTAAGAGAGAGAGAGAGAGAGAGAGAGAGTATGTTGGCAGTAATAAATGAACCAGGAGAAATTTTGCGAAAATCTGACGGGCTTGGGGCGGGCAGAGGATCAACCCAAAGCTGCCCTGTTAACCCAATCCTTGAATCCCTCGGTTTAAGTAAGGTAACGCTAACCAAACTCAGGTTTACAACATGCCATGATTTCTACCCGTGTTAATTGTTGTTTACCAGCAGAACTCTTACAACAAAGCCCTCAGAAATTTTTTTTTTTTTTGAGAGAAAAACAAGGGATATTCCCTGTTCATTAAAAACAAAAGTATGTTTACAAAAGTAGGATACGAAGTGTATCCATTAAGATTAGTGGATAGAAAAAATAGTTTCTCTTACTAGGGATGTAGGACCTTCTTCTTACAAACATCCATGAAGATGAAGAGAGGGGCTTGCCGTCATTCACCGTTGACATGGATATAAGTGAGAACCAAAGCCAGCCATACATTTGGACAAGAGAAAGTAGATTTTCTATAGACTAATTGAAACTAACACTTAAACATCATAAAGTTGATACGTACAGAAGACATTGTGTTAATGATTTCTCTCATAAGAATTCTCTAACGCTCTGTTTTGCAAACCAGGTCCGAACCTGATCTAGCTTTATTAGTTCATTTTTGAGCCTTTTAACCAGGTTAGACTTGAACCAACCCCCTACCTACTACCTAGGTTCAATTCTGGCTTGATTAAAAAAATAAAAATGGACTGGCCTGATTTGTACAGGTTGCCAAACAGTTCCTAACAATTATAATTCTCTCTATATTCATGTCCACAATATAACTAAGCAAAACAAACGTATATGGTACCTTTGCGCTTTAGTAGGTATCTTTACAAGAAAAGTTTTCAGTGCTTAAAACCTTGTTAAGCTCTAAGGACATGATCGAAATTTTTTTCCACAAATTAATTTGAATTTAGATGGATACTTTCAAAAGCCAATTATTCTACCAGAAAGCGCGAGGATGCACATAATTACTAGGTTTATATAATAGGCTCCAGTTTGATTAGAACAAATCAATGGTTTTTTATGGAAGAAAGTTCTATATTAAGTTGTGGGGTCAAACTTGTCTACCTCAACTAGTTGTGAATAAACACATCTAATAAGGTAGATAACCGATCCTATCAAATTCACCCAAGGGAGAGGGTTTTAATTTTATGTGAGTTCATGGTTTACAATGGACTCAAGAGCCTATTGTTAACTACTCTTACTGATGAAAGAAACATTCGATTAAGAGTCAATAAAAAAAGTCATCAAAACAAGAGAAAACTGGCAAAGCAAGAAAATACAATAATCCTTTTTTTTAATGATCATATACATGGCTTAACCAAGAGCATACACCCTATGTACAAGTTTTAATGTAAAATCCTAGACTATATATGTGGCGATTGAAATTTAGTTTGGCTTTGACTTGGAGACGTGAAATAGAATTTGGATTTTGAACCCAGTTTAGCGACATAGAGGTCAAATTAAGAATTTGGCCTAGTTTAACGATGTGGAGGTCAAATTTAATTTTAGATCCAATTTAATAACATAGAGGTCAATTTTGATTTGGTCCAGTTTAGCGACGTGGAGGTCGAATTTGATTTTAAATCCAATTTAGTGACATAGAGGTTCAATTTGGAGTTTTGTCCAGTTTAACGATGTAGTGGTCAAATTTGATATTTTCCAGTTTATGTGACGTAGGGGTCAAATTTGGAATTTATCCTAAGTTAACGACATAGATGTCAAATTTGATATTTTTCTTTAGTTTAACGACATGGTGATCAAATTTGATATTTTTCTCTAATTTAATGACGTAGTTGTCGGATTTGAAATTTTACACAGTTTAACGATGTAGAGGTCGAATTTGAAATTTTGTCCGGTTTATCGACGTGGATGTCAAATTTAGAATATTATCCAGTTTAATGATTTAGAAGTCAATTTTGATTTGAACCAATTTAGTGCCTTAAAGGTAAATTTTAGAATTTTGTCTTGTTTAATGACAAGGGTGTCAATTTTAGAATTTTTTAATAATGTAGAGATCAAATTTGGATTTTGTCCAGTTTAATTCTCTATCTTCATGTCCACAACATAAATAAGCAAAACAAGTATATGCTTTTGAGCTTTAAAAGGTATTCTTGACAAGAAAAAGTTTTCAGTACTAAAAAACTTGTTAAACTAGAAGGATATGGTCAAAATTATTTTCGACAAATTAATGTCAGTTTTGATGGATATTTTCAAAAGCCAATTATTCTACTAGAGAGCACGAGGGTGCACAGAATTATTGGGTTTATATAATAGACTACAGTTTGATTAGAACAAATCAATGGTTTTTTTATGGAAGAAATGTGAACGCGGATAGTGGGGTCACCCACGTGCCAGCTTTGAAGAAAAAAAAAAATCAGTGAACGCGGTTTCGATTCCGCGGCTTCCGCTGGCCCACCCGATTCCATTTTTGAGACCTATAAATTTTCCTAGGGTTTCGTGGAGTAGCTGTGCGAAGGAGGTTTTTTTCTTTGTTGGCGCAACAGAGGAAAATCCTAGGGTTTTGTGAAGAGAGAGAAAGTATTTGGAGGCTGACATTTTCTTGTGAAGAAAAACAAGGAGCCTATTTGAGGGTTTAGATTGTGAGAGTTGTAAACCCATTGTATTTTTTCTTGTGAAGAAAAACAAGGAGCCTATTTGAGGGTTTAGATTGTGAGAGTTGTAAACCCATTGTATTCTTTTTCTCTTTAATAGTGAGGGTTTAGATTGTGAGAGTTGTAAACCCATTGTATTCTTTTTCTCTTTAATAGTAGATCTCCCCCTCATTGTCCCGTGGACGTAGGCAGTTTGCCGAACCACGTAAAAACTGATTGTTTGAGTTTGTGGCAATTGTAATAGTTTTTAGGATCCCTCGACGCGCAGTCCTAGAGCTGACGAGAGGAAGAGCTAATATCCCACTTTGATAAGATATTAGGCTTCAAATTCGTGTTCCCTTTGAGAAACAAGAATTCTTATTGATCTTTCTCTCTTATTGTGCACCAGAAACTCTGTCGAAATTTCCGCTGCGCACAACAAGTGGTATCAGAGCCCAGATTCCAGATCTAGGGTTTGGTTGGAGGAGTAGATCAATTTGGAGGCTCGTTTAGGGCTTCGTTGGTGATAAAGGTGGAATCTTTTGGTAAAGACTCTATCTTTTCAGATTTGGATCTATTCTTTGTTCGTTGGTGCGTAAGATGTCGGGGAAAGAAGGTGCTTCGGGTGTCGAGGGTGGTTCTTCTGGCACGAAGACCATTCAGAGTTTGAATATCCACTCTATGAAGATAAAAGTGGAGAAATTTAATGGTACAAACAACTTTGGATTATGGAGATGCGAGGTTTTGGATGCGCTGAACGTGCAGAATTTGGAGGATACATTGGAGTTAGATGGCAAGCCAGATGAGATTAAAGAGAAGGTTTGGAAGAAGATGAATCGAATGGCGTGTGGTGTGATTAGGTCTTGTTTGACTCAAGATCTAAAATATGATGTGATGAATGAGACTTCTGCGAAGAAGATTTGGGAGATTCTCGAAAGCAAGTATTTGACCAAGAGTGTGGAAAATCGCTTGCATTTGAAGAGGAGACTTTATCGTTTCCAGTTGAAGAAGGGAACCTCCATTAGAGATCACATGAACCACTACACAAAGCTTCTTGCGGATTTGGCGAATGTGGATGTCAAGATTGAAGATGAGGACAAGGCGTTGTTGTTGTTGAGTTCCTTGCCCGACGAGGAATATGAGACCTTCGTTCTTACTCTGATTAATGGGAAGGCATCACTTTCGTATAGTGAGGTCACTGCTACATTGTTGAATTATCAGCTTCGGAAGAAGGATAAGGAGAATTCGACTGAGTCGGTAGCAGAGGCGTTGGTCGCAATCCAAACCGAAAGAATTGGAAGTCACAGTCTAGAGTAGGGCATCCTACAATTGGAAAAGATCAGTGTGCTTGGTGCAAGGAGACTGGTCATTAGAAGAAAGACTGTCCAAAGCTCGACGAATGGATGAAGAATAAGCAGAAGGGAAAAGGGGAGCAGCCATCATCAGAAGCAAATATCGTATCGGATGGTAATAATTCTGACTCTTCTATTTATTCTCTTTCTATCAGTCCTACAGATAGCTATTCGGAGGAATCTGAATGGATGTTGGATAGTGGTGCGACCTATCATGTGTGCTCTAGAAAGGAATGGTTCTCCAGTTTTGAGAAGCTGGTGGATAGTGGTGTGGTGTACATGGCTGATAACCGTGCATGCCAGATCCTTGGGATAGGAAGAATTCGCATAAAGATGTTTGACGGGACTGTTAGAGAGTTAAATGATGTGAGATATGTTCCTTCTTTAAGGAAGAACTTGATCTCGATTGGAGCTTTGGTTGGAGAGGGTCTGAAGGTTCGTGTTGAGGACATGGTTCTCGAGATTGCGAGAGACTCTCGTATTTTGATGAAGGGCGTCAGGAGGAATAACCTGTATTACTTGACTGGAGGTATAGTAACAGGTGGAGAGCTGACGACTTCTGTTGATTCGACTAGACTGCGGCATTTGGGGCTTGGCCATTCCAGTATTGATTCTTCGCATAGATTGAAAGAGGGTGTAAAGACCTGCAATTTGAAGTCTAGTGAACATGTTGATGTGAGCAAGAAGACCGAGGTAAAGTTTGGCACCTCTATTCACCGTGCTAAGGGTCGTTCTAGAGGAGTTCACGTGAATGTTTGGGGGCCTTCCAAGAGGGCATCATTGGGAGGTAATAGGCATTTGGTTTCCTTTGTTGGTGACTGTTCTAGGCGTGTTTGGGTTGCAACCAAATCCCTTTTGGAGAAAGTCCTAGTAGTATCCAACAGATTGAAGAAGTGTGTAATAGACAGAAAGGTGAAGGTACTCTATTCTGGTGGGAGGTACAAGATGGACCTATTTTTGTGTTAGAGCCGAGCTCACGGCATTTCGAGACATTTCGTTGGAAAGGAAATTTTGGGGCAACTAGATAGGGTGACAAATTTGGAAGACCATGCCTTGCTGGAGGAGGATCGGTGTTTGTTGTCAAGCAATAGTTTGCAGAAGAGGTTCTGGACAGAGGCTTCGACATATTTGGGTCATCCTATTAAAG